TGTACTTACAATGGAATACTTAGCCCTCGGTTAGACATATGCACACTTACACATGGAAGTTTAAACTGCCTTTGTGTGCTGTCGAATCAATTAACATACACTTACTTGGCTATAGTAATGTGATGACAGCGTTAGACTATTTGAAAGCAAAGCAGGTACCCGTGGTTTACGTTTAAACCAAATGTAAAATTATTCCACAAGATTCTCTTTGTATTAGCAATGAAAAGATAAATAATATCGGACACCAGCAATAATTAACCGGTGATTACAGATAAATTTGAGAATTTTTAGTTACTTACACTATACTGACAGTCAAGTCAAATGTTAATAAAGCTGGAGGTTGAAAAAATGTAAACATGGAGATATAATGTCGTTTCACACATATCTAATCAAATGTATATTCCATAAATTGCAGTGAACATGAAACAACTTTTCAATATTAACGTTGAATGAGTCCCGAAGGATAATTTTCTGTAAAAACAGAACAGTACAAGAAGGTATTTTAAAAATAACACTGAGACAGTTACAAATACTCTCTTTATCATAAAAATTAAATTGTTAAATTTGGAAGTGAAACAGTTTTCTCCACAGATATTAAAGAAAACCTGGCACTTTTCACGTTTCCAATAAATGTAACACGAATGATTTAATGTCGTAAATGTGATAGTTGAACTATCACATCAGTAATAGCATAACTCTGCAAAACCAAATATAAAATTTCGACGTCCTAAGTTTCACTAAGTAAATAATAATCAAATTTAATATAAAAAAGTTGTTATATGGTCCTGGTAACTGTTTCCTCAAATTAATGGTGCTGGTCTTTTTTTTTATTGATTACAGATTGCAGAATAGGAAATAAATGTTTTAGAAATGGCATCGTCTCCACCAAGTATATTCACTCGCCTCAAGACCAAAATGAAAAATGCATATTATACTGAGCAAATGGTCGACAATCTCGAGAACTTCAGAACTGAGGCTTCAGCCTATCTATCTGGTCCAGGTGAATATAAAAGCCTTAGCTTTCTGGAGATATGTGGGAATTTGGAAGGAAAAGGATATATTGCCTGGAATAAGCTGGAGAATCTAAAAACACTTGTACAAAGTGCGAGTAGTGGAAAAGAACAACTTCTTAAAATGATTAACGATGCTGAAAGAGAAATACAGGAGAATTTGTCAGGTAATTATTTTTTATATTTTATTCTCATTATAACAAGTTTAGAAATAATAACACAGAACTAACATGTATAGGAAAATAAACCAATAGGTTGAAGGACGAGTTTGAAATTAAAAATTGAAAAGAGATCAATGACATTCCATAGGATGAATCGATTATTGGAAAAAGGGGTAATTTCCATTTTCATTTTCTTGGTTTGAAATCTATATAAAGGACGACAGTTCATATGAAAATCATTAGTTTAAAGGATACATATTCCTTTAGCATAAGTTGGTCATTGTGCAATATGAATTAATAAAGTTTCATTCGTGACATAAGTACATTGCGGTCTTTTTTCTTTGACCACAACCAAGAAACAGTTCTTAACTTCAATGAATTAACATATAGTACAAATGTTGTTTCTTCTTCTTACATTTCAATATTTTCATACATTTAGATACAATAATGCTTCAAAAAGATTTTAAGTATGTCAGAGGTTTTTGTTCCGCCTCAAGGGTTTGTTTAAACGTGTAACGCTAATCTTGGTGTCGGTGAAAAGTTCTGTACTTTTTTCCTTAATTGCTTCTTACAAATAAATGATGTAAAAACAGAAAATGATTCAGTATTTCAGGGTTTATCCTGAAATAAACAAATTACTCACCACTATCACGTTTATAAAATCGAGAGAGCATCTACAGGTGTTGGTGACCACTCGTTTTAATTACATGTGTAATTTGTTTTTTCTCAACAAACCCTAAATATAAACAATTGTTACTCTATATACTACTGCTTTGTATATTTCGCCAATAATAATAACAAATTGTCGTTCCGGTTCATTGCCTCGCCTGGCGCGAGCAGATACATTTCTAAATTGGCAAATCTATTGTAAAGTCCTTCTCATGGTCTCCTATGAGTTACCATGCTGAAACAAACTTGTATTTGATTTACCATTATAGGTAGGTGTTTCAAGTAGTTTACTGATGATCATATACAATCTAAATAACACCTTAGTTAGATTGATTTCAATCTTATCTTTATCAAAATCCGTCATTTTTAATTATGCATAATGTCATTTATAAAAATGAATTCTGCTTCTTTAGGGAACAGTTTAACGGTTGGTCTGACCCTCTCAGAGAAATAGATTAATCTTTTGTCTGTAAAGGCATGAAATAACTAAATACTATTTGTACATAAACACCATGTTTTAATTCTAAAAAGAAATGGAAAAAGGAAATATTATTTACCAAACAGGTTCAGCGTGCTGTTTGCCACCAGGGATGGGTGCACAGAAACCAAAGCTGAGAGGTACGTACACCAAATATAAACTTATGCATCTTTCAAGAATTTTAACGGTTACATTCGTATCGTATCTTAGAAGGAAATGCAATATGTTTAGCTAATCCGGCTCGCAGTGGCGCTGGTCCGTAAGTTGGTAATCGGTCACCGTTTTCTTTAAATTAAATCGTTTTCTAGTCTCAAAAGCAAATACAGTTAAATCTTCGAAACAAAAACAGCTGTATAGTGATGATATTTTTACTGTAGTGTTATTGAGAATGTGGTGTGAGCTTGTTATCTTAACTTATTATTGTTTCAACGTTGAAATAATGTATGATTACATCATCAGTCTTATGTTAAGATATTTCCACCTAACATCAATGCTTATTTCTGAAATAAAGATAAAAATATTTGAACTTTTCATTTTAAATAAATATATATTACTGTTGCTCAAAAAATCAATTAAATATATATAAAAACATATTTTTTGTCTTATTCATAGATTATTGCATAGACTTTTTAATTTAGAAAAGGCGAGTTCTCTCACATTTGTTAGTAATCATAGACTACTAGGTGTAAGAGGTCTTCTTTCTATTTTCTCATATAAAGTTTGTTTTCACATTTTGATTTCTTACCAAAAAAATCGTTCTTACAGGTTTGTTTTAACTCTCTCTTAGCTTTTGTAATGTTTCGTTGGGGAGATTTTTCGTTATCCCTGAGACAAATCATTCCACTATATATATTTTAAGGGCACGTAAATCACTCAGGTGACCTTTTGTAATGACCCTTTGTCTGTCGTTGTGCGTCATGCGTCGAGCGTAAACAAAAAGTATACTGTGGATTTCTACTCAGAAACAGTAAGATTTTAAAAAAACATGGATGTAATTATCAGCCGGAGATACTGGGACCATGAGAGGTCACAGATTGCTGTTCCTTGGATTGACATGGGCTAGGCCATACAATTGTAAGAGGTCAAGGAGTGAACTAACCTTCAAACGGCTTCTCTGTAAACAACTGGCGGATTTGCACCAATATCTTATAAACAGAACATCAGCTGATGAGCTGATGATCTGGGGCCATAAAAAGGGCCGCTAACAGAAATCAGAGTTTGTCATAGGCTGAAAAGTCACTTGTAAATAAGGGAGACTACTCCTATAGGTTTCATAACATTTGCTTGTACACTCCATGTTATGAAAATAATTAGTACTTTTAACATTTAAAACCAATCAACGGTATCAAATATTTATATTCTATAATACATACTTTAAAAAGCGATTTTTAAACGAATTGTCACATGGGTGTCTGGTCATACGTCTGAAGATGGTTGACATCCCCACCCCATAACAATAAATATACCCACTGGCATGATGTAAATAACCATGCTACCAGGAATAAATCTGGTTCCAGCCATTTTCCCCCATTCTTCTTCTTCCAATGCATATCCTTTATGTCCTGTTTTCATTTCAATTTTAATTATTTTGAAGATGTTTAAATGTTGTAACAGTGAACATACTTCTGGCCAATACTAATTCTGTCCTTTACTCAGATGACCATTAGTGATCGTTTTGCCTCTTGTTTTATTAACATTGTTTTACAGTTAAATGCAACAAGGTTTGAAGTTCATATTAATTACTCTTGTTTGTTTGAATGGTAGCACATGCAAGATATTGTAAGAGGATAAAAGAGTATATGAAGAAAATCTATGTGATAAGGAAGATAACTTAAATCATATCAAAGTCCGATCGGGAAATCAAATCCGATCAATATTTTTTTTGTAAATGCCAAGAGCGTTACCCTCTACGTCAGCCAATCAACCAAATATTGATTGACCTCTATGACAACGAAACTATTTCGTGTGAAAGGTTCACATTTTATGTGACAGAAAAGTTAACTGAAAACTCTTTACACAAATATTTATTTTTTAAAAAAATACTACATAAATACGGATTAAGATTTTGACTGAAGTATTCATGACTAAATCTGTCTTACTCTTTTAAGCAGAGGACAAATGCTTTCCCCTCGAAGTTCACTTATCTCTTTCAATCAGTGAAATAAAAACGACCGACCGACATGGCTTCAATTTTGCGGAAACATTTTCAATTCAGGTAGAGTTAAAATCACAAAGGACACGTGTATTTAATTCAGGCCCGTCGAACTCTTTTGTGTTCATTGAAGCTGCCCTAACTTATCGTTAAACTCGTCAAACATAAATCTTAAATATAATACGACATTATTATTAAACTGAAACAACACGTAAAGAACCAGCAATGAGTTATAGCGAACTAAAATTTACTGTACCGAGACTACTCCGAAATTTGTTTCAAACAGTTCCTCGATGTTTTAATAAGCAAAACTTGAACAAGATTTCATGTGTAATAATAGTTTTCTTACCGCTGATTTATCATATCGTAGCAAAATAATATGTCATAGAAAGTGAAGCTAAAAAAAAGGGAAAATGATCCTAGTTAATTATCAATACTCCACATCGAATAATTTCCCATTGTTTTGATTTAATTATAGATTCTTGAAAGAATAATAAAATGATGAACTCTTTACGTTTATAGGTAAAGAAATGGTAGTGTATATGGAGGAAGAAGTATACCGAGTAAAAGCGGGATCTGTAGCTATTCTAGACTGCTCTGTAGATCCTAAACCGGTTAGTGTCGTCTGGAGAAAGGGAGAAGAAAAAAGAGTAGACAAGAGAATCCTTATAAACAATAAAAAATACTATGGTGCTGGTCCATCTTCACCAGCACTTGTGATTCGGCTTGTAGAGAAAAGGGACGAGGCTTACTACCAATGTACTGCCAACGATACTGACACCACCGGGAATATTGAAATAGAAATTCAAGGCGATGCTGTTCCATTAGAAGTGGGTAAGTTCAGATAAGAGGTATACAACTTTTCCTTATAACTGAATATTCAGGTTTTCTTTCACATGAAACACCCATTGAAAATCAGAAAGCATCACACATTTAACTCAGTCACGTTCATGTTGATTAACATTAATAATCTCCATGTCATTTGAACTTAACTAGTGCGACGTATTTGATGTAATATCCCCTGCGATAACACCATTTAGGTAATGTTAATATGAAGCATCCTTTGCGTTAGGCGGTTTAAAGTATAAAAGTAATCCAAAACATATGAAAACTTAGCAAAAAGGAACAAATCTGTAAGTCAATTACAATTTAGGAAAACTGCTTTCTGTTCAGACATACCTAAATATATGAAAGTTGTAAGGCGTGTTTGAAAAATAAGAAACTAATCTGCTAAAGTACTGAGTTTACGGTACTGTTTAATCTATAATATCATGAAAGAAAGTAAGGATATCTTGTTGTTATATATACCGAATTATCAATTTTTTTTAATAATCCTTATCCTAGATTCCGATGAAGATAGAAGTAGCAATACACATAGAACACAAAGATCTCAGTCTTTGTCAGCTTCAGGAGCAGGAGGGTCGTACAGTGATATAAACATCAGATCGAGCGCTAGTTCCCAGGATTGGCAAAGGGAATCACCCAGGTACGAACATATAATTGATATATTTTTTTTTATATAACAGGCATATTGTACTTTTATTTCCACGTTTGTAACAAACATATGGCATATCTACGGTGGTACATTTAGGACGTACACAATATTATTTTCTACTTTAATTATCTCAAGTAATCGACTTACTAACTCGAGCGCTCGACATGTTTTCTCGCCATCCATCGTATCTACATTGTACATAACAAGTAATACTTGCACGCCCGAATAAGAACACCGCAAACGTAAGTAATGCAAATGGATGTTTTAATGAAATAATTGGATTTAAGCCTGATGTCTTGAGAATTATCGGCATTTGCATAAAATGTTGACGTCATAGTACAACGACGTCATTATACTGTAGGACGTTCAAAGCCACACTTAACTCTTGACTTGACAGATAATTAGTGTTTCCACTGTGCAAGCGAATGTGCTGTGTTACTCTCTCTCTCTCTCTCTCTCTCTCTCTCTCTCTCTCTCTCTCTCTCTCTCTCTCATCCCACTCTATTTACGTTCTTTGCTTAATGCTTAATGTATGAAATGGCAATCAAATTAAAATGGGATCATGTTACATGTATCACATCAGGCACTACCAGTAAGGTCGATTCCGTCGGGGAACGTATCTAGCTTTTATGGGGAATAATTCTAACTTGCAACAGACATAATGACTTTTGTAGATTTTATTTTTATTTTGTGAAATGTAAACAAACTCTTGGAAATATAATATGCCTTCAGAACCCAGCGATAATTTGATTTGAGGATATAACTCGATAATCAGTCAAAACAAAACGAAAAGGAGACAAAAAAACTTGCCGTTTTCATTTGATGCTCAACACCAGCTACCCTACTGCCAAATCACAAATGTGTCTTACCCTTCATGTCAAAAATATATATTATTCGTGATTTAATCATCTTAGACAAAAGTTTGTTAAAGACTTCAACTGCAATGAAGGTGTCAGTAATCAACAGTTACTTTTTTGTTTCAATAATAACGTAAAAACGGGCTGAATCGAATGTCATTAAATAAATATATGATTACACAGGGGAACATAGACTTTCATTTCAAATTGTGGTACAAATTTCGACCATGTTCACTTCTGTATGACAGCCGGCTAGTGCAAAATAACAAATCTCGTAATCGACCCTTCTCGACCTCCTAAGGTTGGTAAAGCAACAACGGGCAAATATGACAGCAACCGAGCAACACTAATTTCTCGTCCTTGACGTTGTATTCTTGCTTCCTCGATGTCATATTCCGGGCCTCGAAGTTGTATTCTGACCTTCAAATATCGTTGCGCATGAACGTTGATTTTTTTTACTATGATTACAATTTGTTAGTTTGACTAAACGTAACAGACTGCTTTTTAAATTTAACAAATTTAGAGATCTATACCAAGCTGCACTATGACGGAGTTGACATGAGTTGAAAAGAGAATACAATGCAGAGAAAATTACGATTGTTTCATCATTTTGTAGACTGACCAACAAAATAAAAACAGCTCATAAATTTTCCAAGTTATCATACGAAAATAAGCATGAATATCATACAATTGATTATATCTTTCTTTATGTACATTCTAATCCATAATTATAACTTTTGATATAAGTGCAATATTCCTTTGACCATTTATTGAATTTCATAAAGAATACCACTGGAAATATGTTTTGGTAAAGTTGGCCTTTACGGTCATTTAGATCGATACATTTTAGGTGAAAGAATGGCTATACCATCCAACAAAAATATGGACGAAAGAGTTTCAAATTATATTTCCATCTAGCACATCTTATCCTGTTAACTATGATACTATTTAACAGTCACATAAGATTTTCGAATGTTTATAATGTTCTGACAAGAATCAAATCCCTTGATATAAATAACTTTTAAGATAGAGAGCGCTACGGTCATACGCAGATAGGTTACATCGCATACACGTAAGGTATAAGTAGCGAGATAGAGAACAAAAAGTGTTGAGCTGTAACTCACCGCACATGACCATAGTGCCTTCTATCTTAAATTTCTTTATATTGAGGAAATTGTATATTTCTCATAGTTAAGCAAAACAATATGTTTGATTTATAAGGCCGCAGCTTTCTTTAATATAAAATTGTACAGTCTCAGAACATGGCGGGCATGCTTAGCAAACAGTCATCCAGGGAAGTACTTGTCCGGATGTTGTTACAAGTACATGCAATGTACAATGTCATTAATGTTACATGTATCACATCAGGCACTACCAGTAATGTCGAATCCGTCGGGGACCGTATCTAAATTTGTATAAGGGAATACTTATAACTTGCAACCTACGATACTTGCCGCGCGAGATACAGCCATCAATACGATCCACATGTCAGAATTTTCCTTTTGCTCATGATTGTTTACTAATGCAATGTATCACAATTTCGTTCTACCTTTAACAATAACCTTTAATTTATATATTGAGCCGACCAGAATTCTGCATAAATTGAGTCGGCACACGTGCAGCGATATCGTCGTCTACAATCAATCATGTCCGGAACAGATACGACATGCTGTTGCTAGAAATCCTACCGCTAGCTCCATCCTACTCTCATCACGAACTGCTTATCCAAACTATCCTTCACATTCTGACAGTAAGATCATCGCTCTGGATGGTTTTCAGTTTGGATAATATTGTTTCTTTTTTTCAGTTGCCCAACAGAGGATAGACAACAAGGGACTAAAGGTAAAAATCAAAATATAGAACAATGCTATCCGATATATTTAATTAGTTTTTAATTTTAAGAAAAGAAATGATATGTTTAATTAATAGAATAATGACATTAAAGTGGCGTCGATTAATATGATGTTTAAGAACGTTTAAAATGATGCCCTTTTTTGTTTTTGTGTTTTTGCGTTGTCACGTATTCATATACTGCAAAAAGAAGCTGGTGTAGTACTTTTATAAATAAGATTACCGCATAGACATTGAAAGGTATAGCCGCACCAAATGTAAACACATAAAAGTACATTTACTTTTATTGCGCTGCATTCCGAAGTAACAAGATGTTGAAGTCCTCAACGGGAGAATATCTCCTTCTCCGAATTTGTAGGAATCGCATTGGCTAAGAAAATGTGTCATTAAACATATAACTAACTCTATTTCAATACGATACCGAGAGTTATCGAGCGGACGATGTTATTTCTAATTCAAAAATACAATTACTGCATTTGTTAAAGCGACATATCTATAACCGTATATTGTTAAATAATTTGTTTCTAATTATATTGGCTTTGCAGCAATTTGCCAAAAATTGTTGATCAGTTTATTACTCCTGTTGACGCGGATGCAAGTACCCGCACAAATCACACGCGGCCTTGCTGGTGACCCTCACCTTACCATGTCTTCGGGAAACCGAGCACAGTCATCTTTTTGATACGCGAGTGCACTATCCATTGAGTCAACCTACCACCAGTAGCACAGTCTATTTTCCAGCACTAAGTGGTCTTTGTTTTGGCCCTGACATAATACCATTTACCATTGTATTCACGTACATATGTATAGATAAGGCGGTTCACACCTTTAACATTTATATGTGCGCAAATCCGTACTTAGCAGCGAATTCGAAATCATTCCAAGTCTATCTTAAGTTATACTTGTAATAAGTCGGGAATATGTATAAAAGTAAGTAGCAAAGGCTGTTGCCTCCCTTCAATTTTCCCGTACATCATCATGACATGTACATTTTCGGGACTAATCTACTTTTTATATGTGAAACAAAATGCAGTTCTTTCTAAAAAAAAAGTAGTATATACGCTGTACATATTCGTGCATGACATAATACCATACATAATATGTTTTCCTTTTTCTCCATGTATTTAAAAATGATTTAAAACATTGAACAGTGGAAATAATGATAAACTACTACACCAAATGATCGTAGATCATTATAAAAGTGGTATTAAGTTTAAGATCACCTGCCCGAAGGGTAAGTGAGCATTCGCCGAACTGCAGCGTGCGTTATCGACCTGTCAATTTTTCACTGGAAAGTCTACTAGTCAAGAATGGCTGCATACATTTTGACAGGTGTGGAACACACTAGGCTAAGGGGACTAAACGTTGTATAAATAAAGGATCGGTGGAGAGACGGGAACAAATAGGGGAAATAGGGTTAATCTTACAGTATAGGTTAAGGAAGTTTAACATAATAAGGTATTGCAATCAAGAGTAGAGGCCCCCAAGTGGGAAAAATAAGTAATAATACAAAATATTTTTCATGGGAACAGTTGACAAGATATTAATCTCAATTGGACTTAGAAATCATTGGGCCAATGAGACACATCATTGAGTATTGCTCTCCGGGGACAGAGTGGTGAGGCCATATAGGGGACTATGTGTAAATGTTATTTCTTGATAAGGGATACAATGCAATATTTACGTAATTTGACCTAGAGGGAACGCAGAACCAAATGATTTTCCATAAACGATAGTGTTATTTTATTTTTTATTTTTTTTATACATTTTATATATATAAATATTGCTCAACCAACACATACAACTTCTGAAACTTCTGCCACCTAAATATCCAACCAGCAGGCCCCGAGGCATTCACCTTCCTATTAAATCTTCTGCCCAAAAGGGAAAAACCCACAATCTATTTTTGATTTGGTTCCGTGGTCCCTATAGGATCCCACATATTTTCAAATTTACCATTTTTGGAAACAGTCAGGACCATAGGGTATGATACTAAAATGGAAAGTAGCTGGCTCCAAGGCTTGGGCTGGTAGGTCAAGTCTTCTACTGGTACTGAAGATGAAGATTCCTGCAAGAAAAGGCAGGAAAATTGAATCAATTTCAAAATGTAAACTTAAATATCTTAATAAACATTATACTTAGACTTATGATGTTGAGTTTTTATTAAAGAACAGATACTGTACTGCTCAGAAATATAAACAAATAACATATTGTCTGAAGATCAGGGGAGATAACTCAATTTTAAGACCTATACCCCCTTAATTTTGGACTTTTGGTAAAAAATTCAAGACACCAGCAATTTTTTTAGAAAAAAGAGCCAAAAACAGACACAAAACTAAAGACTAGTAACTGTACAAACAGTACAACACCACAATGATAGGATTACATAATGTTTACATAACACCAGATGAAAGACAGTGGTAGGAGAGGGCTGCTCATGGTGTAAGGGAGGTAATCGTGAAGTGTTACCAAGGTGTGCATTGTGAGTGCAGGACCAAATCACTAGTGTGTGCAGGGAAGAACAGAAATAACTTGATAACAGACAACGTATACTTACCAAGTGATTTCAAGGTCAGCGGTGGAGAGGCAACTGTGTCAAAAATTCTGATGGAGAAAGTTAAGACCTGTCTCAGTGACTCTTTGTTGGAAATGACCCTGAGAAACCTGTCGACCCCAAAAGGTAGAATCTGTAAACAGACGGCTGAATCAGTCTCTACGATCACGTGTGAACTTTACTCGTAACTTTTCAGGGAGAGCTCATAGGGCGGTGTATCCTGTGAACCATGGACTGCTATTAAAGAACTGTGTAGTGGGGTTGGGTCTCCAATCACTGCCGGGAGCTCTGTGTCCAAGGACCTAGATAAAGAACAAAAAGGACATCATTGTGGTGTAAAATTCAAAAGAGAAATAAGAAGAAATTTATGTGAAAGACAGAGTTATGCTTGAGAAAAAGAAATGAAACATTAAAATATTGAGAACTTAATAAATGGTTTTTGTTACTTTTTTATTATATATATCTTACAAGAAAGACAGACAGACAGATAAATAAATCGATTATTAATAAAAAAATATATATATAGGTTCATATCAGAGATGACTGACCTCCGAAATCATGACGTCACAGTCCCTCCTTGGGAAATCCTCCTTCAGCAATCTATAATGTACCATCAGTGACAGTCGGAGCACTCTCTTTGTTGTTCTGTGTCCATTTGGCCAACTAACCACAATACGCCCATATCCTCCCTGGTCCATGGCCCCCTTCCACGCTCTATATGGATGTTTATTTCCATCATAGTATCCTCCTGAAGCTAATTTAACCCTCTAAATTCTGCCAAAACACATCAATGATTAGATTCACAATCAGAAATATGCTGGTGGGACCCATCTGGTTTCCAGGGACGCTTGAATGGTGTAAAACGTCATATTCTGCATCTTTCTATAGGGACCGCAGAACCAAATGATTTTCCATAGACGATAGTGTTAAAATTTACCACTGTCCTGGTTAAATGGGGTTATCCACACTGGTTTACCTGCCCTCATTTTGAAGAATTTCATCTCACAAAACTGTAAATAGAATATTTAAAAAATCTGCCTATTTGAACATTTTTTATATGGGGGCAGCCATTTTGTATTGAATTCGGCACCAAAATTTGACCAAAATTGACAACAAAATACACACTTAATAAACTCCCCCAGACAATATATATATCTTGATCAATTTAACATTTATATATTTTAAACTTCAATAAGATGACATTTAAAATTATATCGTAAATCCTAAAAAAAAACCTGAAGTTATGCAAAATTGACATTCACAAAAAAAATGTCAAATATGTTTTTGAAAAGCATCTGTTTGTTTAACAAACAAACACGTAGCAGGTAGTTATTCATGTCCTTCGTCCCCTTGTTAATACTTGATTTATCCATGATTTAATAGCATATGATTTGAGACAGAGGACAGTGAGAATGTATTTTGTTGTTTCATTACAGAGCTAACCCAAATATGGAAGTCCATTTGTCAAATGATGTTCACTATTTCCGACTACTACGACTTTGCCTGGGTAGCCTCAATCATTAAGGATGCATTCCATACAGCTACAGGCGAAAAACGAATAGAAAAACTTTTTTTGGAAACAAGTAAGAAGACGTTCAATTATGCTATATACTTTAAACAGAAAGTAAGATTGAAAATCAAAAATATTCACGGCGGTGTTGATTTCAACATATCTTTAATCGTGCAACCATGTTTTGATCGTGTTATTTTTCTAACTAGTTGACCAACGTACAGATATGCAACATTTATATTTTTTGTTTGAAGATAAAAAAATAAATATATAACGGCTGTTTGGATCTGGGACATGATTCAAATCTCCTACATTTATTCAGACATATATTCAAATTTATAAGATTCATTACCCCCATCCAAGTTTGCAGAAATAATCTCGACATATTGACGGTATGATATTCCCCTTACTCATGAATAAACGAATGCTAGCGATCAAGTTGTATATATATATATACAGATATAGGGAAATATGTCTTTCAGAATGTATACGAGTTCTTGTTGAAATCCAGGCAGCAAATAGTCTGTCAGAAGCGCCTGCAGTCTGTCTAGCTGAACAGTTCAAGCACTACATATTGGATAATGGATTACAACTATCAGAAGAATCAAATTCCGTTTTAGAAGTAGACGAAGCAAGCATCAAAATAACACCGGAGCATATGCCTGAAGATGGTAAGTAACATAGTTGTGGATATGATCTTAACGACCGTTGAATACGCAAACTTATATATTTATTCTGTTGTTTTAGGACATCCTATTGTGAACATTAGTCACAAAGAGTTTTCCGTTCCCAACAGCGAGTCGGTCATCTTGCAAACATATATCATCTCATCACCACCAGCTTCGTCAATCGAGTGGTTCAAGATAAAAGCTGAGGATAACGAGACTTTGATACCAATAGACAGCAAAAAATACTATGGAGGCTCTGACCTGTCACCTTCTCTAATCATCCGAAACGTCAATGTTGATGATCAAGGATGGTATATTTGTCGGGCTGCAAATAACAATGGAACTGGATGTAGCAATAAAACGTGCGTTCGGATAAACACTGGTACGTATCTCTTTTAACGTATATGCAAAGTTTTGAAGGCGACAATATCACAATATTATCTATTTATTCATATAACACAAGAGTTTTTTGTACTGAGGTAAAATATGTCCAACATGGAATGACAAACAAGGCATTCAAGGTATACATGTAGCTTATTGTATGCACTGCACTACTAGTTAAATAAATACAAATACATGTCAAGTATAATAATCCCTATGTTCTTCAACAGTGAAATTAACCAATCAGCCCAAACGTGTTATTTTTACTACATGCAATGAGAAACTTACAGACATTATTCTAAAAGCATATAATCCGATGGATAGCACACAAATGCTCAATATCAAGTATCAGCACTTCCCTCTTTTCACCATATCGGCTCTGTCTGCAGACCATATTGACATGGATATTGACGGGGCAATATATTATGTTAGCGTAAGATGTTTTGATCGATTCGTGTTGACGCAGAAATAGCCCTAAACAAATGAGATACATCCCTGGCCTAGCCAGAAAGTATTAGAACTGTAGTATTTGGAGGGATAAACATTTTTCTCTCACTTTTTTTTATATCTTCTGAAATGGTCGCAAACAAAAATATATTTTGTCAATGAAAAAAAATCGACAATATCCAACTCAAATAAAGAATATTTTCTTCATTTTGTTTTTACATTAAGGTTTTATATTGTACAAAAAGTACACTTCATAGTTCTATCTATATTGCAAATGTAGCCCTAGCATTTCGAAGACGGATGTATGACTATGTTATCTATTAATATGACACATTGTTGTTAACATAATGAACAGCTTGCACAAATTATAACTTTACTGTTATTGTTTTTTGGTAAACAGAACCAGCAGGAACAGAAGACAAACCTGGACCATTGGACGAAGATATCAGTGACATCCGAGGTATGATCCTAATTATATACACTGTATTATGCTTTACTAGCAGATGAATAGATGAATACACAACCAATATTAAACAGGAGATGCACAGTTTTCACTGACCTTCACTCAATACGTATTGCTCCGTTAACTGGAGTTTCCATATCCTAACCATACAACGGGACAAGCTTCCATGGCGTCTGCAATAATACAAGAGGGAGGAGCTATGCAAATTTTCCGTGGAAGAGACACAATTGTTAATAAGTTTTAGGAATCAAATTTTATTTCTGCTGATCAGATTAATGAATAAATTAGTGATAAACCATTCATAGAAAAAAATCCGTGAATATAAGGATAGTTTTTTTGATTTTTGGAAGTTTATGAGGTGGTCGCCTAACTTCATACCATCTATATCTATAATTGAATAAATAAGGAAAAAACGTAGTCATTATCGTCAACAGCGATGTGAATCAATAAGCCAAATAGTTCTTTTGTTACTTGCAAGGTAGCATAACAGATGGAAAACATTTTGCGATCGAGTAAAAACGAATAAAGTAGCATAAGATGTTCTTTGTGTAATGACCGGTAAAAACACTTAATCATACTCATACAAAACTCAAGTATATGTCTTTGTTTGAGGCAATAATGCACGCCACAAGTCGAAAAAAACAAATCCATATCTTGCAGTAAAAACATTCATAGCATACAATAACAATATTGTTTTACTGCTGTTTATTAAACAAAATCTCCAATGACGAGAGCCAAGCCGGAGGCAAAGGAGACAGGTATCAGAGACATCGAAGATATGATCCTGATTTTGTATACTGTACAATGTTAAAAATACTACAGAGAGGGCATTCAAACTACACTGACATGTAAACACAAGCGCAGCCTTTTTAGTTGTACTACGAATGCGATATAACATTTAGTTTAAAGCAAGGCATTTAACCGGTACTTCCCAGACTTCTGCGTTTGATTTCGAATGTAAGGTTAATAAGATACTTCGATTAAAGGAATCTATACAGATTATAAGTTGTCAGTCTTATTCCCTTTTTCACTATCTCATGCAGTTTGATTCATTGCATTCTTGTTTTCAAATGGAGCAGCATGTTCCACAGCAAAGTTCTTCATATCTAGCCTAAGTTGTTACAGTATGATTCATGATCTTTAAGATGTCACTGATTATTTTGTTGCGCGTAAAATGTTGAAGGGTATGTAAACCAGTTAACGATACACGACTGCATATAACTATAGTATAGCTTAATCAGTCGATTTATGTTGCAGACAAAGAGATTAAAGTATTGGGTCATAACTTTGCAACGGTTGAGATCCCAACCCAATAACCATAATAATATATAGTTGTGTGATCGTACAACGTTACAAAATGTCCAGTGTGCGCGCGGTGTCTACACAATGTGTGCACGATATGCGATCGGTAAGATCTTGACGATTCATGCTTGCGCATATCAGTGCGCACGATGGACGAACGTTGTGTGGTTCCTGTCGGGGTTGGTGTACATTTTGAAATGGCTTAACAATGTAAACGGTTTCGTGTTTAACTATTTAGACTTGATTGTTATATACTTGATAGTATATTGTCAGAAATGGTGTTTTCGGTGTTTTTTAAAGGGACCTGAATCAACACATGATTAATTACAACAAACATGGACACGGTCCATACACAAGGAAACATAGACACTTTGTACATGTACCTTTGCCGTACTTTCCCTCACCCAGGGCATTTACGTAAATTGTCAAGGTGTAAAAAAAAACAGGTGAAGGGATCTATCGATCAAACCGAATGCAATTAACAAATACTTTACGTCCTGTTGTGTTTTTATATTTTACATATCAGTTCTCTGTGTCAGGCACTGGCAAGTAGTTAAAGCTCTAGTCACTTATATTCAAAATATAACTTTAACATTGAATGATTTCATCATTTTGAATGTCACCTGGCTGTCTATATTTTCCCTTTCTAAAATTATAAAGATTTCATATAGATGTTATCAACTACTTTTGCAAAGTAATATGTACAATACGTGTGTATAATTTGGCAAATGTATTGGTTGGTTCTGCTTGACCGAGTCAAAAGTATTTAGACTGATTCGTAGAGCATCTATACAAGCTGCACTAGTCTATGTATGTATGACTAATTTGAATATGCCCTCTGTAGTTTAACAAATATTGTTATATTGACACACTTAATGCTTCTTTCCCAAAAACTCATCCACATGATCATAATTCT